GGACGTTGAAGCAACAAGTGTAGTGTCGCAATGCGCATTGGTTCCATGGGTCTCGAAAATTCCGCACGCAACGCACCTCAAAGAACTTCACGCTGGGTGGATTCATCTCCGCCACTAGCAGCCGACGCACCGCCACCTGGCAGTGTTACACGAAATATGTGAAGTGCCATCTCTCTCGCTCGTTCGTTAATCCGCTGCTGATCTAACTGAACTCTGCCTCGAGAGAAAGAATGCGCGTGACGAACTATAATCAGCTGCTGGTGCTGCTGGTGCTTTTAGAGGAGGAGAGAGGAATCTTTAAAGTGGCTATTCTGGCAGAGGAGGAAAACTATCGGCCGCAGTGCGACAAGCATAAACGTTCTTGTAGCAGAAAATTGGTTTGAATTCGGCTACATAATAATCGACCCCGCAGTAGGAGAAAGGGAGAGGCCTTTCTTAGTCTGGCTATAATTATGGGATAGCCTCCCTACGCCGTCGCTCGACTCACGGAGACTGGCCAAGCGTTCGTTCGGCCGACCGTCTCATCGCTGATCCCTCGTGCCATCCCAGATCGTGAAGCAGCAGCAGACAGCCGTGGCATCAGCGATAGACCAGTATCAGTACTCGTTACGTTCGCGAGAGAGCGGAAGAGAAAACGGACAGAGCCAATAGTTCCGACCAGCGTGGGGAAAGCGACGCTGCCATAGATCTTTACAGAGTCAAGAAAAATACTTCCTCACGACGCCTGGGAGGCAGTCGGGTCGCCACCTGAGTAATTAAACGTCGCAACCAAGGCGAAATCACAAAAAAGATTAGGTTGAAGATTTATTTGTCGTTATCGGCAACGACATCGATGTAACCGAGCGTCTTTTTCTCGGAGTTCCCATAAGAGTCCTCCGCTCAGAGATCCCCGAGAAACTTCGAAGTCTAGCTCCTGCAGGCTCTCCGAACCGTAATCGCAAGCGTCGGACGTCACAGCCATCTCATCAGCTGATCGCGTTAGAACCCCATCGCACGAGTCATTCCACCGCATATCCATGCCGCAGAGTTCGGTCGACGATCAGATGCGGTTTCCTCGTTTTCGATAGGTCTCCACCCGAGAGACCCGGCCCCTGTGAGAGGAGAGGAACTTCAACTCACGCATCAGACGCACAGTAAATTCTTGCAGATGCGAATTTCTGACTCCCGTTAAGCTCTCGGGTCACCCGGAGCGAGCTTCACCGGTACTGACGGTATACAACACTCGATTCTATCGTCACGGCTAATTTTGGATAATTTTTCCATGAGCCGGGAAGAGAGAAAAACATGTTCGATCCATGCTAGGAGAATTTGTTGCGAACGAGGCCGAGCGCGGCTGAAAACGGAGTGAGCTCAAAGAGCCGGTCCGAGAGACGCGGTGTACTCAGAAAATTGACGACGAGCATTTTTCACGGTGAGCGCTATCGCTGCAAACGACTCCGACGCCGCCACCGCCGTCATATCCGACAAGCGAGCGAGCAACCGTCGGAGCCAACAACCGACGAACCAATAAGGCAAGCTACATGGGGGCGCAGAAACGGCGAAGTCCATTTTCGCAGAGGGAACAAATGCGCGGAAGACCCGCTCGCACGGAATTCGCGATTCCTCTACCGCGAGGAATTCACAATGCAGCTCGCCGACGAAAGAGACTCACGGAGGTAGCTTTTCGGATGGGGTTCGTCCGATCGCGAATCGGAACATCATCGGATGAGAACCCGTGTGCAATTACTCCCGTCTCGTTTCTCATCATTTCAGTTCTCCTCCATCCGATGCTGGAGCAGGAGAACGATCAGGGGCGGAACATATGCGAGCCGGCGAGCCCCTCGGATGAAGTGCGAGGATCATGAGAAGTCTCGAGAAATAGTAGAATATTCGCGAGGTCTTCACAGCGACAACGAATGAGAACACAAAAGTGGACGCCGCAGCCGGTGAGGCAGGCTCTAGCCGAGGATTATGAGCTTACTCGAAGCAGAATGCTTAAAACATATGAAGAAATATGAAGGAAGAGCTCTCTCTCCACGGAGAGACGATACGCCTCGAGGAGTTCCATCACTGTACACAGCTGAGTACAGTTGAGCGTGGATGCGTGTCCGTTCGGTCACTGACTGTCTCACGCGTGCTCCGCCGTAAAATTGCCGCGGCCTTAACGCGAGCCATGGCGTCGCTCCCCGCTGCGGTGAGATATGATCGTCATGCGGCGCTGATATCTCGAGAGACGCAAACTTCGTCGAAATGCAACTCGTTCTCAAGTTCTTGCGCTGGGGCTTGCTGAGAGCAATAAGCCCAGCTCGGCTGCAAAGCTGCCTCCGTGGGCTTCCTGTAGATATAAAGCCAACCGAACCGCCCGCCCGCCTGCCAGCCCGTTCGGCAGCCAGCCTGCCTCCTGCTTGACTGCCTGCCTGCCAGCAAATATACAGGCCGAGAGAAGGAGCGAGAAAAATACGAGAGTCCAACAGAATGACGGACCGACTCGGAGAAAGAGAGAGACACTTTGAGCTGCTGCAGCAGCAGCAGCAGCCGCACCACCACCACTGGCGGCTCTTCGTAACCCCGCTGCGGGAGTTGGAGCACGTCCGCATACTCAAGCAATGGAAAGCAACTCCGAGCGACTCAATAATAATATTCTGAATAATATTCGTAATGGAAATCTCCCTCCCCCATCCGCAAGAGGAAAAACCTGGAACGAGCAGTGGTTTTCGCCAATAAATCGACGTTTTGTAAAATACCCACGTTGCGTTGGGATCGAATGAGCTGCGTTTTGTCCGAGGAACGATCCAGAAAAAAACGCAGCGAGAGATGATGCGAAAACCCGTTCGCTCGGTATTTCACGCGAAGTCGCTAGAGACGACGAGGACCGATCCGGACTCCTCGAGAGCGCGTAGGACTTGGGACGGGGCGTGTTTTTTCCGTCGTTCCTCGCAGCTGCGTTCGGGAAGGTTTCTCACGTGGAGCGCACGCGGTCCACAGGGTGAGTCGCGTGTCCGCACCGATAACAGCTGCGTACGTAACACGTGACTTCAACCCAGCTCTAACATAAACAAGCCTACGGGGAATCCGCCACGGCAGACATCGGATAGATTTTTCCCGTACATTCGGACATCGCTGGCTATTCACAAAATATCTCCCGGATCACGCAGGAGACTCTCTCGACGAACATTCAGTCCGCCATCCGCAGGCTCGCAGGACCAACAAACGAGCGAGCGACTGATAAGCGAACGCGAATATCGCGGCAGGTTTTCTGCGAAGCTCTTTGCATTTGCCTATCTATCCTCTAGTTTCTCCTATCCGCCTCCGGCTTGAGCAGCTTCAGTGTTTCCGATGATTCCGCAGCGTGCAGGTGTTAAGGGAAATTTATTTCCTCCATATCGGAACAGGGCTCTGATATCCCAGAACCGAGGACATAATGCCTCTTGACAAAGAGCACGACAGCGAGGGTTGAGGAGAGAAATTCGGGAAAAGGACTCCTCGTGCTCAGAGCCGGACCGCCGATCGAAACGTCAGAAACCAGAAGCGAAATTGTCGCGAAGCGATACAGAGGGGCGGGGGGAGGGAAGCTCGTAACAATTGGGCGCAATCAGTATCATGTAAAAACTCCGCGGTACGATACATAGGTCTTATCGGCATCATACGAAGGGAGCCGTCTGTGAAATGGAGCCCGATGTAAAAAAAAGACCACGAGAAAAGGAGAAGGCCGGGGAGGCAGAACGCACAAAAATGTTCACGTTACCAATCAATACTGCTCTCAGCCTCCGCCTCCTCGAGGAAGCGTCTCATGCTACTCCGCTCCGTTAGAGCCGCCTGCCCCATGCAGCTTGAGACTGAGAGCTCGCTCTCAAGTCGTTCTCCCTAGGCCGGGCGAGCATGCGATACACGAAAGACATGGGGCACATGAATACATGAAGCGTCCCAAGCCTGAGCACCTCCGGAATTCCCGAACTTGGCGTGCAGAACGAATAATTGACATCTCCTGCGCTATGCGAACGCATAGACGGTCGAGAAGTTCAAATATCTGGAAAATGATACGAAGAGACAAAACAGGAGAGCTATAGCAATTTCCCTTGTCGAAGGCCCGCGATTCGGGAAGGTTCCCGAAAATATCCGCTGTCCCCGGCAGTGGGGAACGCGCTGAGATCGCTCAGAATTATTGATCCAACAGCAGTGCGTTTTTTGAATGACTATCGCGCGCAAGGGAACAGCCATGTATTCTCTAATTAGATTCTGCATCATCGGGAGGCAGGGCTCGACTCGGAAGAAAGCCCCTGAGATCGAGCAGAAGGCCAGCCTGCCAACCGTTCTCTATGTGCCTATGTCTGTACATCGATGGATTGATTCAGACAATCAGTCCGTACAGAGGCCAGTAGCCGCCGAACTCCCTCCATCAATGAATGGTGCTGCATCGAATTATTTCTCCCATGCCTTGTTGACTCATGGATTAAAGAATGAAGGAAGCGATCAAACGAGGATTTCGGCTGGCTCAGCGATCGGGAGGCATGCAGCAGCGAGCCCGTACTCCGTGGAAGAGGCTTCTAGCGGTCTGGGTTTTCTTTCTCGATTCGAGCGAACGATCCGCGGGGCTCGACCATCGGACCGATCGTCGAGAGACTCTCGTATCGCTCCGGTGCGAATGCGGTATCGTTCGCGACGCTCTCCTGTGACTGCTACATGCACGAAGATCTTGTGCAGTTGCTCTCCGTGTCGGATATGTACACTCACACCTTGCGTCTCGTCTGTCGGCCAGCCAGCCAGCATTCCCGGCTGCTTGTGCCTGCCATGGTCTGCGTCCTCGTAGGTACATCAGCTACCACCCGTGGAAGGCTGCTGTTCACTCAAGTAGCAGGCCGACTGCAGCTTGCTGGGAGGCAGGCAGGCAGCCAGCCAGCCGGATGGATGAACGACGGCCTGGCAGGCAGGCAGTCCAAGCGAGTCGGGCAGGCAGGGCTGGGAGCTGACGAGTCGAAAGCGGCTATCTGTTTATCTAAAGGATCGTCTGAAACTCTACTCACCGACTTGAAGCACACTCTCAACGTATCCACACTCGTATAACTTTAATCCTTTGTAGAACGGCAGTTTTTGGTAATCGACGGAATCGGTGGATAACGACGAGTACATACAAATATCGCGCTCGTTGCGCGGAAACGACCAGAAGATGATTCGCCGTTGCACTGGCTCTGGTATCCGGTTGTATCGTTCCTCTATTCGCTGGAACGGAATGTAGGCGGCCGCAACTTTAGCACTAAGATCCAGCAGAGATTCGACGCCTGCGAATTTCTCACGGGAAGACACACAGTGTCCACTCAGACTACACAGGGACCCGGCCGCCTGCGTACCCGCCATATCAATTTGCGGGTGACCCAGATAAGGTGCGGGGCGTCCCTCCAACGCCTGAGTCCTCTGGCCCATGGCGGCCATGTTGGCTGCTCGCTCGCTGTGTCTACATCCGGGGCAAACGAGCGCCTAACACAACTCCACTTCGATTTATGTAGCCTGAAGGGCAAAAACACTCTGACGACTGAGAGCCGATCGCTAACGATGTTCTCTTTCCCATAATCTACCCTCTCCATGTTCACTCACCCAAAGGGAACGCATGCGCACCGCTGACCTCTCTTCCAACGCAGATTGTTAACAGCTGGCGCGCCGAAATTCGAACTCGCCTGCGCGGACACTCGCGCTTGACGTTTCCGGCCTCTGCGATCAACGCTAGAATCAGAACAGAACGGATTCGAGATCACGCGAGCACTCCTTCCCTCCGCGAAGTCTCTCGGTGAGGAGCGAGCTCATTTGGCCCGCTCGTCCCTCATCGTGAGCCCTGAGGTTCTGAACCGGAGACAGATCTTGGGTCTTCCCAGCTCTGTTTCATGTATCTTGGTGTAGTTCACCGAGCCTTGGTCTTGCTCAACGTGAGGCTCTCGGGCTTGGTATTCCTTATCAGCCAGGACTTCGCAGGGCCTGGATTCATCTCCCAGTGTCGCGCTCGCACGGTTCCTGGGCCTGGCTCCGCCCCTCGATGAATTGTGGAGGATCGATTCTGAGTATTCGGAGGATCAGAATGATACGAATCAAGTGCTGGAACACACCCCTCGCCTCCGATGGTAGACCCTCTGCTCGTTCCCTACAGAGTTCCTTCCGCACTCCATAAGATCAATCTCCGGACAGAATCCCTGGGCTCCGCATGTGATCCATCAGCGTCCGGGAACGATGGAGAGGGAGGGTGGGACGGTGAGTTCGGACTGGCGTCGAGGGAAAGTTCCATATTCGGTCGATCATCTGGTCGGGGACAAATTCGGATTATCGAATAGGAAGTCTCGGTAGAGTGTGACTCAGGAACTGAGTTGTCTCTCTCTCAGTCAGTCGCGCGAACCGCGAACGAAGGCAGCCAGCTTTTCCTCGATAATAATTAATATCGTCTGCTGGCCAAGCCGTCGCTTGGGAGCCGGGAGAGTTTCAGAGCAGCGATCGGGCCCTGAGGATGAATTTGTATTCTCGGCTGCTATTCACAATTCCAGAAGAATCTGATCCTCTGGTCACCAGAAGTTCGCCGTCGCCGGCATTCGTTTATCGAACCTGATACCTGATTGGGATAACAAAACGATAGCCTGATAAGGTCCAGGTCATTCCGTGGCTCTCGCTGCTTAGGAACTGTGTTGAAATTCGCAAGGATCAGCTTTCCAACTCAGAATAAACATTCATATTCCTAGTTCTGTTCGTTGAGTGCGGCGAGTCACAAGCAGCTGATCATACACAAAAGAGGGGACTGGCTGACTGAGAAACACACGTCCCATACATTCATCCCCTGCCATGTGGAAAATGAGTGTAATACAACAAACTCCCACACATACGCGAACGATATCTGAGGTATTCAGTCACCGATAGCATCATACGGCCAGCACTTCATCGGTTCATCCGAACGGGCGTGCATCTCACTGAATTGATTATGTTAGAGGTTGAGGTGATCCCATCTGTGCCGAAATGAGATTACACGCGATCCGGAACAGAACCCGCCGTTGTGGACATCTCTTCGTATACAGAGTTGTAGGCACCAAGATGAGTCTTCCAATCGAGCATGACTGTTTGATCTCAAGAGAGGTGCGAACTCGGTTTTGTTCGAAGGGGATCCAAGCGGCCCGAATCTTTACTGGAGCACAGCCGAGCGACCCGTTGGAGTCGACTTCAGACCTCCCTTAGAGCGGTGAGATCCCACCCACTAATTTATGAGAAATCCGACCGCAGGATGCATCGTCTTGAAGATCTCTCACAGGCGAGGGCTCGTAAGCAACGCGTCCTCTCAATCGCTAATAATCGACAGGCTTGTGGTTCTTCTTCCGATTGGCTCCGCTGAGAACGGAGCAAACCAAGCGTCTTCGAGGGAGGGAGGGGTCCGAAGGGGGGATCTATCGAGGGGGGTACATTCACGAATCCACGATTCGTCATCCTACTCCCATTGAAGATTTTTTTATGTGTATGGTAGACACGTTCGTTCTTGGAGCGTTCCAACGTGTCGCCAATCGTGCTGCGACAGCTGGAATTCGAAGTAGCGGATCCTGAAGCTGCTGGGCAGCGCGAAACGACATCCAGTATGGTGTCTATTCTGTGAAAGAATGAGATCGGGAGGCGGGCGTTTCTCTTCTCCTTTCCGTTCGCGAGCACTGAGATCCCCGGAAGAGCCCTCGACGGAAGACGGTAGATCCTTGGATTAGAGAAATTAAATTATTCCATGGGACGTCGCGTCCTGGTCCCCGCTTCAGAGATGCGGAAGAATGCCGACGAGTTCCCGAATCCATCTGAGAGAATCCAAAAAAATCTGGGACGCCGAGAGTGTCGAAGGAGCGAGGCTGCGCGGGATTGCCATGGTGCTCGCCTGGTCGTCATAATCATCGTATACAATATGAGCACGAGGTGCGATCTCGAATTCGGATTCCGGCTTTCTCGGCTCCACGGTCTGTCCGAAGTCAAGGTCGAAAGGGTAGAATCAGCCAAGGCCGAGGTTCCCGATGGGACTAGCGGCTGCGGATCTCCGACAGGTGTGCCAAGCCAAGTTACTTATGGCGGTTCAGACTCCGCGGACACAGGGTATGAGCCCTCCCTGGCTCGGTTCTCGATTTCACGGATTGACGTTAACTCCAGAGTACGATTTTCGTGAGACCACTGAGAGCAAACGTCGGTGGCGACGAGAAATGGCTGACCCGCCCCGGGAGGGAGTCCGCCGCGATCGGCACATGTTCCCGGCGAGCTCACCGTCCAACTGCGAAAATGATTCCCCATGCCTCGATAGTGCACCTCACCAATACTCGGATATCTGACAATACAGGTTTCCATTCCTGAAACGAAATGGCCTCCGTCCCATCTAGCGGAGCGAATATCGATCTACGGCTGTTGGTCAAGTCAGATTGAGAAATTGGAAGTCGATGTACGAGAATGTGGATTTCCGCATGAATCTTGGGCGAATAATGTGTGAACTCTACTGCGGATGTAGAGAATACCGTCAACCTGCCGACTCCCGATTTCGCCTTTCTCCTGACTGGGATTCGCGCATCACCGCCATCTAGCCACCGAATGAATCAAATAGAGAATCATGGGTTTTTACTCCTCGATGATTCCCTCCGTGAACTGCGTTACATTGTAATTCATGGATTGCAGTGCTTTCTGCTGCAGATCCGACGCTGCTGACATTCAACATCGAGCTGAATGGCAGGGGATCCCCGTGTAATTTATCGTCTGTGAATAAGCGCGACAGTGACCTCAAAATCATGGTAAGAAAATCGGGAGAAGGCTCCTGGATCCCATTACGGACAGATGAGCCATTGTGATGGACACTGATATTCCTCTCATGTTCCATGTAGCAGACCTTGGTCGGGTGGACCCGCAGTGCAGCGCTTTTTCCTTCAAGGAGCTCTTCGGGTTCCATTGCGGAAACTATATTCCGATAGAGAACGATGATGGTCGATCCGCTGCGCTGTCTTCGGCCGAGCCGCTTACAGAGCACTATCGTTCTCGGCGAGAAAGGAACATCAATCCATAGCTTATATCAATCGTGAGCTCTCCTGAGGGCGCCCCGCTCATTCGCTCGCTCAGATACATACTGCCAACAGAGGGCGAGTGTTCGCAGCTCGAATGCCGAGCCGAGTCCGAGTCAAGGCTAGGAATCCGTTTATAAAAATCTACTTATCGTCCTCGGAACTCGGCGCTGCCGGTGGAGTATTGGATCTTTCTGAGCAACACCTCACTTACGGCTGTATTATATTACGCGATCAAGCCAATCGCGTTACGCCTACGCGGCACTGATGCTATTACTATCAACATCCGCCGCTAGACCTGAAGCCGCGTAAAGACAGTTCTCGTGCTCGCCTAATGGACAATGATTAAAACAAACGTTGCCTTCGCTCAGCCTGATAGCTCGATCCCGGAATAGTTTGTAGAGCAGGGTCAGAGACACTCTATGATTCTATCGGAAGCACGGACCGCTAGGGCATGGATTCTTAGTCCTCAATCCGGGAATTTATCGCCTCCTCCCTCGCCCTCCGTGGGTTATGGATCGCATCGCCTCCCCAGGACGCGGAAATCGACATTTCCGTGAAGTTTGTAGAGACATCCCCCATGGAATAATCGAACGCAATTTGCGAATCTGGTCTGGAATCGTGTCCTAAATTCCAGAGTAGGAAATCCTTCAGTATATGCTTCAGACACTTCCTCCTGCAGAAGCACAGGAGTCCAGACTCAGGTCGCAAATATAATTGATTCGGAGCGATCAGAGCATGCTCCCCTCCATTTTGCGTTTTGACCTCCATTTTGACCTCCCCTTCTGAAACCGGCATAAAAATGCGAGCGGTAACGCGTACATGTACATCACTGAGGTCCGCGTCCGGGAGCGTAGATTCCCAGAAAGAACCTGTGTCATTTCAACAGGCGCTTTCTATCCCACGGAAACCCTGATCTTTCGAGAGCTCTGTTCCTAGTCGGACTGCGATTTCTCGAGCGCAAAACGCTGAGCGATCTCTCGCCGTCAGCGTTTCCTCGGTAACATTCCCCAATTTCCCTCTTCCTCGGTAAATATAGAGGAAGCCGCCGCCGACGGATCGAGTCTCTAACTCTGAGTGAGTTTAATTCTGGAGTTTCTCTCTTCGCGGTAAAAATCGTTGCTCTTGTGAACGCTGTAAATCTTGGATCTCGGGCAAAAGCGGTCCTTAAGCGAGGACCGGAGGGAAGACAACGCGAAGAGGTATTCAACTCAACTCAGGAGCATTCCGCAAACTGTGTCACCACCGCGCCGCGGCCAGAACTCACATTTGGAACGGGGTAAAAAATTTCGCTGGTTGACTGCTCGAGTACCCCTGGTCCCTACTGGCGCTATCCCTCTAGGGTCTCTCCAAATTACTGGGATCTCCGTGAGCTTCCCAGGGAAATTCGGAGTCTGGGAAAGTATAAAAGTATTCCTAAATCGAAATGTCGAATCTCATCTGCCTTCCGCATCGACTCGAAATGTCGATCGTCAGGGAACGGCCACTGAGCGCGGAAGAATTTGCCTCTCTTGGGAATCGATATTTGGTCGAATTGGGATTATGCGATGGATTTCGGTATCATTTTCCTCCTTGGTCCAATGTCGCTCGGGGCATCATGTTTAAGGAAGAATAAAAGCCGCTGATAGATGTATGTATTCTTCAGGTCTTATCTCTGCGTGTGTCTCTTCACGCTTGTTCCAAGCTTCACCGCTTTTCAGTTTAGACACGCTCTGGGGAGCAATAAGTTTCTTTGGGGTTTCCCTGAAAGTTCCGTAGAGGGTCTTTATCCGAAAGTCAACGGACTCGAAGAGATTTTACCGTTTCCGACAAGCTGGGACCGTCTGAAATCCTGAATTCGCCGGACAAGATAATCTTCGACGCCTTTATCGGTCAAGACATGTGTCTCTAGAGCGATAAATATTTTCCCACGGTTCTCTGTGAAGCAAAAAATCCATATTCGCATGATTCGTAACGATAGGCGTAGTTCTTTCCGAATTTCGATGTTCTGAGATCGCGCATCGAGAATCCCCGAATCTACGTAACCTGAGGAGCGATCATATGATCGGCCCGGAGCCCTACCGAAGGTTTCCGAGGACCCGAAAGTCCCTCGTGTGACATCTTCCCCATCAACGAATCTTCCGTTCAGCGCTCGAGAGAGGCGGACCCACTGGAAATTTTCCCAGCTCCGGTATACGAATTTTACGACGTGAACTGCCTTGTACTCCCATCTATCTCTTCGTTACTCGACGAAGCCGATCGCAGACTCTGCCTTTCTATCATCAAAAACCCCGACTTCTCAAACCTCTTCGACTCCGCACAGACTATCACAAGAGCCCAACGCAAATTCAGGGTTCCCGTTGCCCGGAAAAATGTTGTCCACCACTCCTTCCGATGGAGAGTGAGTCGCCGCTCTGACGTTAAGGGAATTCCCCCCGCTTGACTAAGTCTGTCTATCTTATTTCCTCGAGCTAATAAACTTGAGTGTACACCGATGGAATCCTCATGTACAAAAAGGTATGATCACCGTTTATTATGCAAGAGCATTCATCCGAGAGGAGTGTATAAATGGATGTGAGGCGAATTTGGCACCTCTTAAAAAATGAATATATACTCTCATATATGGTCAACAATCAAAACGCATCTAACGCATCACGGGCATAGACAGGGGCGAGCTGGACGATTGGGAGTCCTGAGATCGCCACAACTGAGTCACAGTCTTCCATTGAGTGTAGAAGTTCAATCCGGCTTTTCCGTAGAAGTTGGCGTCTCCGAGGAAAGAACCCCGAGAGCCAGTGAACGAGAACATGGGTAGCGGCACCGGGATCGGAACGTTGACGCCAACCTGTCCACAATCCGCTTCGAAAGTGAACTTCCGTGCCGTAGCTCCATTCGTGGTGAAGATTGCTGTCCCGTTCCCGTACGGGTTGCCATTGATGATCTTGATTGCGTCGTCGAGCGTTTCCACCTCGGTCGATATGAGAACGGGGCCGAAAATTTCTTCGCGATAGCATCGCATCTGAGGTGTGACATTATGAAGTACCGTCGGTCCGACGAAATTCCCATTCTCGTACCCTGGAACGACTATGTGACGACCATCGAGCAGAAGCTTCGCGCCTTCCTTCACACCGGACTCGATGAGCTCATGGATTCGCTGCTTGCTCTCGGAGCTGATCACCGGGCCTAGATCCGTGCCCGCGACATGACCCGCGTTCACTCGGAGCTTTTGAGCGCGCTCGACCATTTCTGGAACCCACTTTTTCGATTCGCCCACGAAAATCACGGTCGACAACGCCATACAACGTTGTCCCGCAGCGCCGAAAGCTGCACCGACCAGCTGATTCAAGGTGTGCTCTTTGTTGGCGTCGGGCATGACAACGCCGTGATTTTTTGCGCCCATATTGCACTGCATACGTTTTCCGTTTTTGGCTCCCTCCTCGTAGATGTATTTACCGGCTGTGTCGGCTCCGACGAACGAGATCGCCCGAATATCGGGATTCTGGCAAATGAACCTCACGGATTCTTTCGTGCCGTGGATCACGTTGACGACGCCGTCGGGAACTCCGGCCTCCTGGAGCAGTTCCATGAGAATCATCGTCGCACCGGGATCTTTTTCCGATGGTTTCATCACCATCGTGTTTCCGGACACTATCGCCATGGGGAACATCCATAACGGGACCATGGCGGGGAAGTTGAAAGGCGCAATACCAGCTGTCACTCCGAGAGGGAGTCGGTAACTGTGAATATCCATGTCTTTTGTGACTTGGTGAGATGTTTCCCCGAGCAGTAGAGATGTCGCGCTGCACGCGTGTTCGACAACTTGTTGACCCCTCAACACGTCTCCCTCGGCGTCGGGGAGCGTCTTGCCTTGTTCCGTGGTTATGCTCTCGGCGAGACGTTTCGTATTAGTTTTTATCAGATTCTGAAGACGAAACATACACTGCTGCCTGGTCAGTGGCGATGTCTGACTCCAGGTCTTGAAGGCTTCCTTGCAGCTGTCGACTGCCGATTGCATTTCTTCCGTCGTCGAGCACGGAACGCGAGTGACCACCTCGTTCGTGGCGGGGTTTCGTAGATCGACCCACTCCTGCGTTTTCGACTCGACGAATTTACCACCGATGAACATTTTTGTGGTAGGAGCCGCCGATGAATACATTCTCGAATGCAGCTGAGTTAGACCGCGTATCGTAGAAGAAGCTCGCAGCGAAGCCATTGCTGAAATTGAAACGAATATGGAAGAACTGCTATCGATCCGCCGGCTCGAAGTAATACATTTCCCAGCTGATCTAGCCTAGAGCTCTCCAAATCAATCGAATGGGAAAATATTCTGTGAGGTAGACGAATTCTCTCAGTTGTGATCGCAGTCGACCAGACGCTTGTCGACAGGGGGACCGTCACGATTCAGGGAGCGTATATCCACTGATTGAGTGTAATTGTGCTTATACAGCCACTGCGCCAACTTGGTGGATAAGCGATCAAATGGGCCAAGCCTCGCGCCATCCGGATATTTGCGGGAAGTTTCCGCGGACGGATCCTTTCGCGTTTTCTGAACCAGCTCGAGTATCGTGATTGATATTTCTCAATCAGAGGAGTCTCGACCGTAATTTCCCGGAAAGTGATGTTGAAGAGCTCATAACGATCCAGACGATCAGCAAGCGAAGCTTCGCGTTAGGGAATTTCTTTGCGGAATACGTTGAAAACAGAATTAATGGGGGAGAGCCATCGATCATATGAGCTTCCTCGCGCGAGCTTGGCCCAGCAGCGTGAGCACGACAGGAAACTCAAGAGAACTTCGACGTCAAGATGAAATCATGGTCCGCACTTCTGATCGGAGTTCCAAGAACGTCCGGGAATTTATGAGGCAGCGGAGATCGTCTGTCCCTGCTGCGAATCAGGTATCTCGGTGTTCTAATTCCTTAGCTCAGGCGAGAAGACATGCCAAATTCGCGGCTTGAACCGACTTCATTCGGGGATCCCTTGATCATCGATTCTGTCCGGGACAACTAGGGTCCGCACCGGGCTTACGTGGACGCCAAACGACTACGTGAACTTACCGCTGGTTTTAGCGAAAATGACCTCTTGAGGTTATCTCACATACGCTTTTTGCCAGACTGTCTGTGGAGCAGCGTAGCCAGAAACGACCAGATGACGTTAGGTACCACTAGCGCCATCACTGGCAAGAACATCAAGCCAGCGGCTTTCCTTCGCAGGGGCTCGGATACAGTCGGTATCGGATGAGCAGCCCCGAATTGCGAAGTTTATCATCTCTCCATATTCTACTCGAATCATCGAGGCTGAAGTGTGAGAAGTGGCAGAGATGCTCCGCCCTCAAAGTCCCAGGCAGCAGGCAACCTTTACTCAATAATTGGTCTGATCTGCTGTCTGCTTATTTCGTCAACAAAACAAGCCTCCGGTATTGCTCGTCGACGAGTTTTTTGTGCGTGGTGCTCCAGTCGGTACAAAATCAGGGAGTCCCGGAAAAAAGAGCCCCCCTGCTCGTTCCCAGTGGCGGATATCAGAGACTATGCTCACCTTGATCGGACGATTAACCTGCAGTGGCTTCAGCTCGGAGACGACTCGAGCTCTCCACACAACAGTCGCGGTTTCTGCCGGAGCCAGATATCGCGCATCTAGGAGAGAAGAGCGCTTCATGAATCAATGGCGGTGAGTATCCTAATGATATCTTCGGAGAGAGATTAGATGTTTCTATCAAGAGAAGGATGAGTTGACGATTCCGGCTCTATCTGTCTGCGGGGAGCGATGGAAATCTGAAGCAGTCTTAGACAACTACAGATCTCAATTTCAGAGTTTTCGCTGACGCGCCGGATTGGTCGCGACTCGACGGTACACCTGCTCCGCTGAACAACGCCCAAAGAAGACGGTACCTGCAGCAATTGACCTACAATCAACGGGTACAGATGCTGCTCAGTCAGGTCGACGGTGCTAGAGCTGCAGTCCAGGAGGCGAAAGAAAAGATCGAGACGGATAAAAAGCGAATAATAGCAAATAAGTTGAAGAGTAAAGCGAAGACATGGACTAGTTGAAGACTAGAGCGAAGACATGGGGTAGTTGAAGAGGTGCGTCGGTAATCTTGAGAAATAAACTTAATCAAGGACTGTTCTGAGAAAGTGAGCTAGTTATTTCCGTTCCTGTTGGCGGGGTCGATCGAAAGCTTGCGCTGGCAGTGATCCTATCGAATGAGGGAGTACCTCTGCGGCCGAGAAGGTTGCGGGTTACCGTTCCTTCCTGATTTGATGTCCCACTTTGAAAAAGAGCTCCATGCGGAGGCGAGTCGGGGGGCGATTCGGGGAAAGATCATGCTCGGAGGATAATTTATCAATTGATTTTTTATTGATATATCCAGTGATAGATACTTACAATGTCAAGCATCCGAGGCAGCTGTCATATTCCGAATACCTAAGACGCTCAAGAGTCACGTCGTATGAACGAATCGCCCGTATGTAATACCTATACATAGCTCGGAAACGGGGTCAAATAGAGGTTCCATCATTTCAACGCTCCTAAACTCAATATTTGTACAGAATGACGTCTCGCTATCTAGAAACACGAGAGCGATGTTTTCAGGTCCTTGTGCATAACGGTCGGAATCGCCGGACCCCCCGCCTGTGATCTTCGATGGAACTGGGCTCCCCTGGTGAAAATCAGGCTGGTGGGTATATCGGCATTGTTTGAAGATCGTCAAATGCACAGAGCTGCGAGGGTGTGTGGTTTGATTTTCTTCTGCAGATTTTGTGCGAGTTTTGAACTGATCTCGAGCCATGTGAAGCTGGGACACAGAGACACCTGGAATGAAGGAGGATACTACTCTTCCCGCTCACGTATTGCATCGACTTTAGTGACTTCGCGTTTTCATTGCGAGACGGGTGTTCGGTGTTCGTGAGCTCAGGCCGCTCCGTAGAACGGTGCAGCCTGAGCGGATGGCGGTGCTTCCGAATGGCATCCCTTGAGGGTTTCTGTTCGGATCTCGGCACGGTTCTCCCTTGGGACCAGGTTCTGGTCCGGGCAAATTCGCTGCCCGGACCCGCCCTCCGCAGCAAATAATGACATCCGGGATGTTCTGCATTCTGGGGGGTTTCTAGGTCTTTTTGACAGCTTACCTCTTCGAGACAGTTCTTACATGAGACGAAAATACTCAGGCAGAAGCCGTCATTCGCGTGGATCGGCGTACCATCATGCTCGAACTGTAAGCAGAAGAAAATAAGTTTGAACGTGAATATTTTACGAGATCCGACTGATGGTACGGAAAGACCAGTTTCTGAATCGAAATCAAAGGCGGCCATGGGTTTTATAGTATGTAGCAGAATTATACACAGCGGAGGAATACGTGAGTTTTCCAACATTGTTCAGTAAGGACTCACCGAAAGAATTCCGTGCGGTTTGTGCGGAGGTGGATCATTTATGAAGACATGGTTCATGAATCTCTTCAGAGCCGTATGCACGCTCCGCATCGGGTTTATTTCTGTCATCGGCAGATGAGCGTATCCCTTCTCCGAAACGAGCACATGAACGCGGTTACTGAAATAGAGTCATTCGTCATGATCATGGGCTCTATTCATGATCATCGGCTCGTCCAATCAGATGGCGAAAGTGTCCCTGACTCGTGTGGGCTTCACCGTACGACGAACTCACTTGATTTTCTTCTTGATGATGCACACCACTCTGAGATAGATCTTGCAGTGACTCTTCACGGCAGGCAACGGGAAGTTCGACCTCCGGAGATCTGAGAAGTATTGCCTAGAGAAGAGAATTATTTCATTTAGAATCAGATAGTGTTTGGGATTCTGTCTCGTGCTTCCGAGGTCTCCTCCGAAAGCTCTCGAAACGCGAGCGCTCGTACCTGGCTTTGTCGATAACATTGATAATGTCTTTACTCCTTAGGCTTAGGGATGAAATGTCTGACACCCACGCAGCCTGCAAGGGTATCGTTCTGGTTCAGATACATTGATGTATTGCAGGAAAATTCAATTTAGACTCAATGATTCGAGCTCCTAGAGAAAATATTCTCGGAGGGCGAGAAGGCCTCACCTGAAGGGATTCCGCGTCGGCCTCCGCAACAGTTTTCAGTTTTCCCCCCAATATCTCCCCGGTGAATTGGAATCGGAACCAAGATCCCGAGGAGGTCTCTACGCACAGCAGGGACTGCGGTTGGAACACCAGTCCCGTTTCTTCGAGGACCTCGCGCCGCACTGCTTCCTGCAACGATCATCAACTTGATTGATTTTTTCGGTCACAGACGTAAGCGTTTCGTTAGGGCCGCTTGCTGGAATAGATACTCGCCGAATGAGACTTGGATTCTTTATGTGGTCGAGAAATCACTCCTCTCTGCCGGCAAATTCTCGCTCATCCAAATGGCTCCAGATTAGCCGGCCCCCGACATTGTCTTTTGTTTGATATGGTCTAGCTGACGGAGGGGCCAAGTCGCGAATTCGATTCGGGGATTCCCCCTTTTTACGAAAGACGCTCGATTTTACCCGCAGGGGAAGGCTCGGATACCTCGTAAATTATGAGGATCATTTAACAGGGTCAGGTCCGAAATGACCCGCCGGCGAGATAAACAAACAAACTCACCGTTGGAACTCTTCGGGCGGAATCGGGTCAAAAATATCGAAAAATTACGGGGACTCCATTTTGAACAAGATTCAGCAGAAGAGCACGGAAAACTCGGCGGCCCGCAATGCACATAAATAGGCAATGCACAATTTCTCGTATCGTTTTCCCCCGAGGCTCATCGAACTCGCTCTCGGCGTGTTGGGGACTCGATCGTTTTCTGGCCAATATTCACTTACAATTATCTGCTCGCCTGGTTCCACCCTGCCAGCCGGGAGATACCACGTCCCTGCACAGGACTGTTTGGCTTCCTGCATGAGCAGGACTTCGCCCTTTTCGTTGAAAACCACCGCTCCAACGATGTATGTGATATTCTTCATCAACACCGGTCGAAAATCCGCGCTGCATTGAGACTCGATACCCTTGGTGGCTGGCGACGATCGAAAATTAGGCCGCTACTCATCATGGTAATTTTGGTCATGGTTATTTTCTGTCATGCGACGGAACCGCCCGTGCTCACCTAATTCTGCGAGCTGGTCTTGGATGCTGTAATCGACGCATCCAGCTCCATCGTCGTTGACAGCTTCGCCGCGCAAGACGTCTTCGAGTATGCTTTCGATGCGCTCCATAGTAGCGTTGGCACTACTCCTCTGTTTCCTGAGTAGAGAAATCACATCTGTCACTAGCCCCCGATATCCGACCTCGACCAATCTACTCGCGCTCGGGAGCGGTGCGGTTGGATAATGAAACCGGGGTTTATACTCTGTGCCATCAGAGTACGATGAGACGTGTAAGACATGTCACGTCTATACGTAATTCAGTCAATATGAGAGTCTCCCGGAAAAATCTCCGTGCGGGACTTTTTCTCCAGTGGAGACGTCACCGTCGTGTGGGGACAGTAGGAGGCGAACACAGATATTCGGGCTCATTTCTCACGCGTAAGCTCGGAGTGCCCGTCCCGGCAGGAGAAATTACGCCCCATTCTATGCCCTCCGGCCTCCGGGGTCGACTTCCCCACCGTCAGCCAGCAGGGGAAAACACAGCAGTCCGCCCGGAATCGGAGAGGATCAGAAGAACCCTCAATAGAGAGAAGAGAACTTGGGAGTCTAACCTGCTGTCGTGACCCGACCTGCTGCAGATGCCGTTTTCCTCAACGACACCTCAGGACGCTCATTGCTTTATCGGATAAAAACCGGTAGCCACGCAACGAGAAAAACCAGAACACCAATGATTTGGACTTGTTTGACACCAAAACAGATGACGACGGCGCTGGCGGCCGCGGTAACACATTTCGGGAGAGGGGCTTCCCTCTCTCCTAAACCGTGGTACTGGAGCATGGGGAGCAGCGGCGTCGACGGCGGTTTTCAAAGTCACCATCGTCCCAGCGGAAACACGGCGGAGACGGGAAGAGATCATTCAGGGTTAAGTAGCCCACACCGAAAAGTACGACGTCGACGACTGAAACGGCAGTGAAGCCGACGACTAAGCCGCGGCGTCGTTGAGCGCGAAACGAAGCGCCCGCAAACGAAGATTCGAAGGTAATCTTCGATCGAGCGGTTGACGTTCCCATGAGCGACGAAGCACGGAAACGGCGCAATGACCGGTGCGCTTCGCTAGTCGACTCTCATTCATGACCGACTCCGCCGTCGATGAGCATTATCAGGAACCTTACGCTTTCAGCTGAAAAGCTGAGGAGTTCGCGAGGGAAAGTTCGCATTCCACTCGCAGAGGAAAGCAGAGCAATGCTCGTTTTGATCTTTGGGAAATTAACGGAATCGGTAATCTCCATGCCCGATTCGTCGCGTCGGAGCGCTCGAAGATTCGCTTCTGCCTGGCTCGTTGTCCCTTTCATTGAGCTCCGCGGGTTTCCTGGAACGCCGCGCGCCGTTCCGATTGACATATGGTTCCTCAAAGAGACCAAGCTATGAATTCCAACCGTATCGGTTTCAAATCCATCGATTTCAGCTCTCGGCTGGGAGTTCACCCACGAGAATGAAGCCGAAGCGCGATTCGACCGCAGACGTGTTTGGAGCTCCGAAACGGCCCTTTCATCGCGAGCAGAACTGCCGAGACAGCTTGCCCGTACTTCACGACCGAGAACCTCAGTCAGTCAGCATCGATCTAGGCTTCTATGTCCTCAGCTGCGGCTCCCGAGTAAGCTTCTCTCCGGCAAACAGAGAAGGCGGTTTCGTAGAGAGAATCTGGCGTTGCCATCTGAGGCGTCGCGGAACACAACGGCTGTGTCATTATTTCTGACATCTGAGACATGCTCGAACTCCTGGAATGCTCCCCAACAGAGTCGCCGACCTAATTCCTTGCACAGAAATGACAACACGTACGGGACTAGGACCAAAAATCGAGGTACTGAAACTCTAGTAAATCTCGCCCAGACGTCCAGAATTTGAATTCTGACACGGAGACTTGTGAACCCGGCTGGAGAAGAAACCCGAGCAAGACGAATATGGATCGATACAAGGTTTACCTCCGACTGAAACCATTGTCGGCGGGGGAAACCGATGTATCTGAGCTTCAGAATGACAAGACTTTAATCATTCATCCAGGACTGTATGGAAAAAGGTGGGTGCTGTGTAATTGACCCGGAGAAAATTGAGACTCTCACGCGGATTATGATCAATAATGATAATCTGCTCGAGGCTTGCGGGAATTCGGGCTCGGAAGGAATGTCGTCCTGGAGACAAGCTGACATCCTGATTCCAGGAGAACCGATGGGGAACCGAGAGCTGTGCGCTACTCATTCAGAGGAGTTTTCGAGCCAACAAGTAGTCAGCAAGAGGTTTTCCGACGACTCGCTCTGCCGGCGATTCGCAACGTTTTGAGTGGGAAGCCGGCTCTGATCTTCGTCAACGGCGTCGAAGCCTCAGGAAAGACGCACACTCTGATAGGTGGATATCACCCTGACTCGTTACCTCTGAGCGGTTTCGCCAACGATGAATTTCGATCAATTGATCGTCCTCAGACCTGAGTGCTCTGTGTCCCTTGATCTTTAACGGAATTTCTGCTTTCTTTTGACACCATAGGCACCCCTGAAGACGCAGGCATACTTCCGCGTGCTCTCGACGTGCTCTTCAACAGTATACCGCCGAATCTTCAGGCGATGAAATTCGCTATCAAGCCTGACACGTTCAATGGATACGAGGCACGTCTGACTGAAGATGCCATGATCGACCGTCAGGTGAGAATATCCCCATGCTCTCCCTCGGGCTGAAACACCTCGACTTCGAGGACCGAGATCTGACGCCCCGAGGACCATGAATAAGGTTTCACTTCCGAGGACGGATCCCGAGGGTGAATTCCAACGGATGGATCCGGTGGCAGTCGTCGGTAAACATAGATCAGATTTCATCAGGTGTCGGTATCCGCCCCGAAGCTCCGAATCAGATCTATCACTTTTCAGAATGTGCTGATCGAGTCCGGGAGTCGAATCGGCATCGAAGACGATACCGCAGAGGGGAGGCCGAGTCCCGAGCAGAGCCCATGGGCTCGGAGGGACCGCTGGAAATTAGATGAAACGAAGGTCATTGTCTGATTGCACATGTTCTCCTCGGAGGAGATGATTTTTTCCGCAGGTTTCACTGAAATTCGTTGATCCTCACCAATTGTCTGATTGATTGAAGGTCGCCGCTGATATACCCGACGACTGCCGAATCGCTGTGTTCGTACAGTTTGTCGAAATTCGCAACAACTGCGTGTACGATCTACTTGACGAGACCACCCATGAGAACCGTGGTCATTCCTGGAAAAATATCCGACATGATTCGTCGAAGAGCACCTATGTTTCTGGAGCGAACGAGATCGAGGTTGAGAACGCAGACGAAGCCATGGACATCTACCTTCGCGGGGAATCCAGGAAACAAATCGCTCAAAGCGAATCCAACGCCGAGAATTTCGGCAGTCATACAGTCTTCACAATCAAGATCGTTCAAGCGCCCGTCAGTCAAAAGACCGGGGACCTCGTTCTGGACAAGGACTTCATAACGGTGACCCAGCTCCACCTGGTGAATCTAGCTGGTTGTGTCGGGAACTACACTGCGAAATCTCTCGATTATACCTCGTTGTGTTTACGGTCGTGTCTGAACATCCTACGAGAGAATCAGATGGAGGGCGGCGACAAGAAAATACCGTATCGCGACTCACGGCTCACTCATCTCTTCAAAAGCTTTTTTGAAGGCATCGGCGGGATAAAAATGCTGCTCTGCATCAATCCTCGGGTTGAGGATCTGGCGGAGACCCTCGAAGTGTTGAAATTCGCCGAGATAGCTGAAGATATTGATTGCGAAACACCGCTTCGACGGACCAAGAAAAAAATCCAGTTCCGAGAACCCAGTCCGACACCGTCGATTGAGGAGTTTTACACGACGGCTTGGGACATGGGCTCCCATCTTGAGCCACAAGACAGAGTTGAAGATCTGAACTTTGATAGCTGCCGCATAGCAGAGACCCCTCAAAGCACCAGTGAAGAGCGAACTTCTGATTCGAGAAGCAGTATTGATTTTTTGCATGAGGAGCTCCACAATGCTCTGTCTCAGCTAGCTGCTCAAGAAAAAATCTATCGAGACAAGTCGAGGGCTCATCAGGATACCCTGCTGAAACTCAACGAAATGATCCAAGAGAGAGATTATCTCAAAGAACGATTGGTCGAGATCCAGGCGGAAAAAGAGTCGGCGGAGTCGCGAGCATCGCATCTCGAAGAATCCCTCGAGAGAGTCCGCAGTAAAAAGGTGAGACGAGCTGAGAGAATTCTGAATTTCGAGGCGAAGAGGATTTCTCTGCTCGATCGCGAGGTTCCACTATGAACTGCCTGTGAACAAGAATCATTCCACCAGGTCAGGATCAAGAAAGCAGTTGAGAACATCGGGGACAAGGAAAACGAGATCCGAATATCCTCAGAAGAAGATCGCTTGTCCGGAGAAGAAGGAGCGAATCATCAGGCAGGCAGCAGCGGGGCGGCAGCGACGAGTGAATACGAAGCTTATTCGCTTTGGAGCTTCCATACCGAAAACCAGTGTTCCGCCCGGCCGCCCGAGAGACCGCAGCGTCACAAGCGAAGGAAGCGTGAGTTCTGTATTTGTTCGATGCTTCCGGGTTATGGTATAATCACTTGGATTTCAAGGAGAAACAAGGGGAGAGAACTGAATGGGAACATTTCCACAGGCAACGTCCGCGTGTCCGATGCGAAAATTACGCAGCCAGAAAGGACGAAATGCAGGACTCCACTTTCGTCACAATCCGATCCCGGAGTATTTGTCCTGGAGGGCGCCGGCGACCCGGCCGGGGACGACGCGTGTCCACGCAAGAATCGCAAACACGTGGGAGATTCAAGGAAGAAACGCATCAGTCTCATGGAGACGAAGGAACGAGTAAGCAGGCCGCATTCTCAATCCCTCGACTTCCGCTCGCATCACCGTACAATGATACTGTGGCGAAGACAGTAATTTCGGAGCTTCGCTCGTTGTGTTTATTTCGGGGTTTTTCTTCCAGTGTAAGATCGCCATCGAGGGACATGCGTACGCGCGAGACCTTGTACTTAAGAAGAAAATTGGGCGTACTTTTAGCTTCAAGGGTTTGTTCTTGAACCCGAGAAAATGATATGCTCACCGTTACGCTTCCGCATGCTTGCATCATCGTGGAGGATTCAGAGAATGGATACCGATCCTACTGATTCGACAAAGACACCTAAAAAGGACTCCATTTCTCGAGAGCATTGTGATTTCCAGTGTCCTTGTCGCGACTTCACCTTCTATCGCCGGAGAATTCTCCACATTCACAACAACTCGCTGTCTCTCGTCGTCGACTCCGGGCTTCCAGCTGAGTGAAAATCCTCGGCGTCACATAAACTGTCGGGAGCGGGAGCTCGATCTATCCATCGGCTCCGATCATCATAATGGTAATTGAGTAGATTTGTGTAGGTACATCAAGGGCGTGGTCGAACTCTGTCAAGAGGTTCTCGGATTGGACGAGATTGTGCGCAAAGGTTTCAGGTTCTTATCGATATTTTTGAGGAAGAGAACATTGAAATGAAATTCGAATAAAGTATGTACTTTAGTGATGTGAGCAAAATCAGATTGTTTCCCTTATTGTAAAATAAATAGCAATCTCACAATCAGCATTCCAATCTTCATCGTTCAATCATCAGAATCACATTAGACATGCATAATTCTGCGGATATTCTAGGCATTACCCGACCCCCCATCCCCCTCCCCCCTATGGAATAAAAGCGCAAGCGCTTCGTTCGTGAGCCGTTTTTCGGCTCTTTCCCCCCACCAATCTCCGCGCACATGTGCTTCGACGCTTGCGGAATCATGCCCCGGTGTGCACGTTGATGTTTTCTTTCTCATCTTCTACCCCTCCGCCAAGTGATTGTCGAAAATCCCTCCTTCTTGACCACGAAACTCATGTGGTACTAATTGTAAGGTACGCTGTACTTCTCTGGCGGTTCGAAAGGCACGGATTTGATTCTGTAGAGCGGATACCGTTCTGTTCATTCGTGGCCGGTGATCGCGGCTTCCGTCCGCGCGCGATGGCTGGTATTTTCTCGACGGTCGCCCGGTCGCAATAAGTTCCTATCCCGGGTCGCCTACCCGAAATCTATCTCCCTACGCTCACCGAGCTTCATCAGAGGTCTGATGAGAGAGCCCTCCACCGTGTGGTGCGATCCGGCCTCGAATTTCTTTTCGCAAGAGGTTCTTGTGACGCGTGACCCACGTACCTTTTCAAGTTTCTGCCTCTTAGCTCAAAAGATAATTAGAATTCATTCAACCAATCCAGCCCAATGTGAGATCTACTCAGATGCAACGAATATGGTATCCACCCGCTCAGCCGACCCCGGAGAGGAAATCTGCGTATGAACGCGATCATCGGATCAGTCCCGCCAAACGCAGCTTACAGAGGCGATCCGCACCGACGATCAATTTGAAATTTGGCGCGCCTCCAAACCTTCCGCTTGAGCGAGAGCCCGCGACCAGGCTTCCCTACGACAAGCTGAGAAGGCGGTCAACAGAAAGAGAACGCTGTTGAGCGAACTTCGTTTAATAACTTGTTTTAACAATCCCTTGTATTTTGTGAATACTGCCGTTCTGACGAGCATTGTGAAATCATCGAAAATGACCAGGTAGGTCTTTAATAAGGGTAGCGCGCTTTCCAGAGTTTCTGTCAGGGAGGCGCAATTTGAATTCTTCCAACCGTCGTTACGATTCCTATGGGTTTCTTGGCGGAACTTCCGCGGATCTCCGGCTTCATTCCCGATGAATATTTGATCCAACGTACTGTCGACGGGGCGAGATGGTCTTATAAAAGCCGTGCCGCTGCTCCGGGTAAAGTCGTAAGCTTATCGGAGCCGCCAATGGAGGGATGTCAAATCCGAAAACCGTTACCGTATCTTAGCATGAGGAGATGGGCGAGTCGCATTATCCGACTTCGTGGATTAAAACTGGAGTGAATCAGTGACGTATTTTCTACTCCCTTCCGACGAGAGTGACTCTCTGGCCTTTGGCCGGCTTAATTTTTCTCTCGACAAAAGCCGCAGGTGCTTGGAATGGACTCGGAAGACAAGGAACATCGTAGACTTCTTCTGCTAATCCGGCACTGTTTCGAACAATTTTCAGATCTGTCGACGGTGACCACTCACCCGAGTGTGATGATGAAATGGACAGAGTCGAAGTTTATCTCAGACTGAAACCAGTAGATCATGGAGAGACAGACATCTCAGAAATTCAGAATAGCAAAACAGTCATTATAGATCCGCAGCTCAGCGGCCAAAGGTTAGTTCATGGAGTCCACTCATCTGCAGGATCTGCTGCACGATCCTCTTCAAGGAAACTCATGGATCTATGCTTGCAGGCACTTGTTGAATCAGAGGGCTGTTCGTTGCACTTTCGAGCATATTTTCGGGCCCCGATGCGACCAGCAAGAAGTCTTTCAACAAGTGGCTTTGCCCTCTGTGCGGGATGTTCTGTGTGGGAAATCGGCCTTGATCTTCATGTACGGCGTCACCGGTTCGGGAAAGACTCACACAATGACAGGTAAAGTAGAGATTCGAGGAGCCTCAGATTTCAGAGATCTCCCGGATCCCCTTGGAGTCTCGACAAGTAATAATGGTGTGTCTCTCCAGGGACTCCGGTTGAGCCCGGTATTCTTCCACGAACCCTGGACGTGCTCTTCAACAGTATACCCTCGCATCTAAAGGCTATGAAGTATTTATTCAAACCGGATAACGTAAACGGTTACGACATCCGTCGAACGGTGGACGCCATGGTGGAACGTCAGGTGAGACCTTCTCCGAGAATGACGCCGATGGTCCGCCGGGTTGCCCCGCCGTCCCCGGCGGAGAGCTCACGGAGTTTCTGTTTCATTGTGGATGACCCCCGTCATCGATCTGACGTCTCTCATCCTGCCGATTTCAGAACACATTGCTGGCATCCGGGAACAAAGCGTACCAAACGCCGGGTATCGATCGCACTCCCGCGAAGAAGAGGCAGCGTCAGGAACAGAGCGCTTGGGCAAAAAGAGATCGTCGCGAATGGGATCATTCGAAGGTATGAATTCAACTCCTCATCCACGTAGTGCGGGAATCCGCTCTTTCGGCTCAGTGACTTCCATTGGACCTTTTCCCTTGGATCGCTTCGAGATTCCTCCACTCCCTTCCATCTCATGGAATTCTCCCTCCCAGGTGATCGGCGACATACCGGATTACTGTAAGGTGGCCGTCTTCGTACAATACGTCGAAATATACAACAATAGCGTCTACGACCTTCTCGAAGAGGAAGCCCTGAGCGTGCAAGCTCGAGCTCGGGGCCCGCAGTCGAAAAACATCCGAGACGACGCCTCGAAGTGTACCTACGTTTTCGGTGCTACAGAGGTAGAAGTCGAGAATGCGGACGAGGCCATGGACGTTTTCATCCGTGGGCAGAGCCGGAAGCGAGTTGCTCAGACTCAAATGAACGCCGAAAGCTCGAGAAGTCATTCGGTGTTCATGATCAAGTTGGTGCAGGCTCCCGTCAGCGAGAAAACCGGGGAATTGGTTCAGAAGAAAGAGTTCATCAAAGTGACGCAATTCAATCTGGTGGATCTCGCAGGCAGCGAGAGAGCGCATAAAACCGCCGCGACCGGAGACCGCCTGAAGGAGGCTTCGAATATTAATAATTCTCTCATGTGCTTGCGAGTTTGTCTCGAGCAACTCCGAGACAATCAGCAGAGGAACACGAACAGAATGGTGCCGTATCGTGATTCGAAGCTCACCCATCTATTCAAGAGCTTTTTCGAAGGTTGCGGAAAAGTCAAGATGGTGGTCTGTGTGAACCCCAGAGCTGAAGACTGCGCCGAGACCCTCGAGGTCATGAAGTTCTCGGAGACAGCGCAAGAGGTCGAAATGCAAAGGGTTCAAGCCAACAGGGTTCAACAGTACGTGGAGCCCAGTCCGGCTCAATCTATCGAGGATATTCATATGGCGATGCGCGAACCGGTGTCTATCCCTGGCTGCCTGAGTCCGCACACTCACACAGAAGCCGACCTTCTGGCGATGCAGAAATTGTGCGCGGATGGCGCCAAAGAGGTCGCTGCCTTCAGAGGTCTCTTCGAAGAAAAGGGAATGCAGCTCAGGGACAGCGTGAAAGCCATGAACGATGAGCTCGTGAACACCCGATCCAGATTGTCCGTACGCGAGAAAGAAGCGAAACAGAAAGCGAAAACTATCCAAGAGCTAATGAGCAAGAGAAATCAGGAGGCTCGCGAAAAGGACCACCTGAAAGAAAAACTCATGGAGATCGAAGCCAAGTTGGAGTCGCTTGAGAAGCGTAACGGCCACCTTGAGGAATCTCTTCGTAAGGCGAAAGACCTCCAGGTAAGCTGCGACCCCTTCCGGTGGAATAATCGTCGATTGCGAGAAGTTCATTCCTCGCATCCGTTCCTGAGGATTCGCTCAATTTGATCCCCTTAAGCGAAGAGTGTTTTCGGAATTTTCAGCAACGAATCAAGAAAGAAGAGGCGACCAAGAGAACGAAGGAACGCGAAGTCCTCATGTCAAAAATGGACCGCCTTCTCAACGAACAGAAATCTGAAGCTATGAAACAGGGAGCTCAGCTAGCCAAGGCGAATCTTATCAAAGACATCATTGGTGTCAATGAGCTCGAAAACTTCGATACTCTAAGAGCCTCACGGACGCCCAAGAGACCCGCGCCGATGAAGCAACGTACTCGTGAGTTGACTCCCCCACCCGGTATCCTCGAGTTCTTATTTTTACTTCCGGCAGCGTTCGGGCGCTCTTATTGAAGACCATTCAGTTGATAGTTCGCTCCCCAACAGAAACCTTCCACACCCTCGACACGAAAAGCACCCCGTCGGCCAAGAAAACGACTGCCCCGTCGTCATCAGAACCCGATCTGAGTGATGTGGACTCATTCAAAACACCCAACATCCACCCAATGCGAACGCGTCGTCGATCTCAAAGCAATAATAACCGTTGGTTGGAACACACCGACGGCGAGACCCAAGACGATGCCATTATGCAACCGGTCATAAAGCGCAAGAAGAGCGTCAGCAAGCTCGAATCGAAGGATCTCGAGAACGTCGACAACTATGCTCTCGTAACTAAAGAGGGCTCTAACATCCAGGTACCGGATCATAGCTATCGGGATCGTCGGTCACCAATATCTATCATTATGGAATTCAATCTAAATCACTGTCATTCTATTGCTGAATATGGGACTCGTGAAGTCGAGCGGAAAAGTAATCTTACTAATAATGATTTTTCTCCTCCGACATAGATTGTGAAGGGTGACGTACTTGTATCGCCTACGGGAGGAACGGCGGTCGTTTTCACCGGAGTGGAGACCGTATCCAGGAAGAAAGTCGGATCATCCAAGCGGAAGGAGTCCGAAACAGATTCCGATGGAAGAGCGAATGTTGGCCCAATGGACACTAAGAAACGGGTTAGTGACTGGCAACTAATGAAGAAATTCGTTGGCGACAGAATGGCGACATTGTAATGCTACTTAGGTAGAGGAGCATGCGGTACTCACATGATAGTTTGGGACGGCAGAATCAGTGTTCGATTATCTACTTATAACAGCGAATATATCATCGGATCGGTGAGAAGCCCCGTGTCTGGAAACGTAATTCAAACCTCGCTGCTTCCAGGCTGAAATTGTACAATACTCTGACTGATAACCATAAAGAACACTGTTGTCTTCACTGAGCATGCACTCATTTTTGCGCACGATTAAGCTGTTAAGCAGTGACTCCGCTGTGAATAAATTTCACCCGAATGCTCAACTGCATCTTGATCTAAGAGAATCACAGAGAAGCCAAGTTCTGCAATTCCTAAGACGAAAGGCCCGGCGAAACACTTTTCAAGGGAGCTGACTCTGATCCCGATGTCGTTTCAGTGTGGAATCGCCCTTGAAGGTCACCCGTACATGAGGAACGTCGTACATCGAAGCAAGACTGAATCTCTGAAATAAACTTCCCGCTTTGCATACTTTCTGTGAGAGTGCTCGTCCTCGATCCATCAATGGTGGCAGCATCCTTGCCGGAAGACCTCCCCGGTTTAGACGTGGAAGTGCCTCGTTTGAGAAGGTTCTCCCGCATGGGAGGAATTAGAACCAAGGGAACGGCCAAGTCCAATGATCATTTGATTTATTCGCTTCGTCTCCAGAGTTCCTGCTCGCCATTCGCTCCCCGCTTGTGATTCCTCCGTGTGACAGAGACCTCGTTCCGGAGGCCATTTCTCTCTCATCTCAAAGAAGTTTCAGCTGGCTTGTACACTGGTTGATCAACTCGATCGGACCGGGCCCGATCCCGAGGACTGTCCTCGTTCCCGGCACTACCTGCGTTCTCCCTGCATCTCGAACCACGGCGACTATGAGTCCCAAATCTCGGGCTTTCGAGCCCACCGATTCCATCTCTTCCCCGGAGTCGACTCGACATACGATTTTGGGTTGACCCGACATTTCCCAAGGTTTCAGGAATGGAGATTCTTCCTTCAATGATAAAATAGAAGGATCTTGCCGTGAATCATTCACTATTTCGATCGTCTCTCTGACATATGATGTTTTTTCCAATCGCTTAGGCGATTGAGATTCGGGTGCTTATATTCTGTATATCTCACCTCAACGGATCTTTTGTAAGCCATTACGGCCGCATGGCAGCATTGAGCGGCGATTTTGCCTTTTTGCATTTTACAGTCCGTCCGTACTACGAAGACCATCTTCGTGTCTCGGCCTAGCATCCGATCCGCTGAAACGAAGAAACTCCGGGTGGTAAACAGAAACAACTGCTCTCGGTGGCGATCTCACCGCCGAGTTGAATCAAGATATCAGCACCAAACATCTGAGGGTCCTGAGAGTCAATACAGGGATTCGGATCCGCGTCAAAGTCCTCCTCCTCTGGCTCGAACTTCCTTCGACTTCTTCGCGGAGCCATTACTCCTGCCTTCTGCTCTCAACTTCTCCAAAGGCTGACACCCGTCGATCGAACGGCCGCTGCTCGGCCGACCGGTCTTGTCCGGACAGAAAGATAACCGCTGGCATACCCGACGACTAGCACCGAGAGCTCCATTGGAGAGTCGGACTGCCAACGGGACACATCCGAGACACAACGGAGTGGAGCGGGAGGCTGGTTGTACGAGTTCCCTGGCGCGTATAATGACATGTTGTCGCCGAGAGCGGACTCCAAAGACTCACCGAATCTGACGGCCGTGCTGCTGAACCAACGGAGCGGTAAGAAATTGCCGATTCTCGGACGGAAGGCACACAGGAGTCCAAGAGCGGCACAAGATCCAACTCCCACGGAAACCCCCGTCCAGAACGATGCGTCTCGCAGCACTTCCATGCCTGTCCTCTGGAAGGGAGTATACGCAAACGTGAAGTCGAGGGAATCGCGAGAAATAGCACATTGAATTCGACATGCTTGGCTTCCGGATGCGACCGGAGGATTCTTTCAGAACGATTCGAGACAAGGCCAGTGAAGGCCGGAAGGATCCTGCGAAGATTTTTGGCGGCTTAACCCGATTCCGTACCTCAGGGTAGTCGACGGACGGGGGTCGTACCGAGAGGATCGAAGCCAAGTCATCGAAAACGCACCTTAGTAGCCACCTGTTGCTCCAGAACCGCGATGAAGAGGGCGAGGGTTGCTCCTACGTATTGTCGTTTTCAGGGTACCAAGAAAGTGCGCTCTCGACCACGGCTGAGGGACGCCGGCAGGCGTTCGAATAATCTTTCACTTGCTTGAACCGCGCTCGTAAACAAGGAGGTTTTCCCCGACCATGCTCCCTATTTAGGCTCTGTTGAGGGACAAGATGATTCTTCTTCCCTCTGATTGATACGGGAATGCTCCCACGCGCGCCTAATGAAGTTTCGGCGAGACAGTGGTCCTTTTCCAGAGTCTCGGTATCACGGGAGTCCTTCTCAGGAAAACAGTGCGGAGCTCCGGGGGAACAGCGCATCGGCAAATCATGATCGGTGTCGTCTGCTTCCCGAGTCGTCACCGCGCAGTATGATCGGATTGAGAGCTGATGGCGGTCTCCCTTCGGACCGTGTGACTGAATCAGACTAAGAAATTGTATTGCTCGTTGCGAAGCGATTCGAGTACCCCTTCAGATGTAATTCCGGAAATCAATCGTGTTCCCAGTCTCCCAGTCATCCTACGATCAACTTTTCTTTCGGGAAGCGGACATCACCGTCTGTAGTTTACAGGTGGATGTCATCGTCGTATACTCCATGGCAGTATCCGTCGATGGATTCCGTTCGATCAAATGAGGGGAGATGTGCATAAGCCACTAATTACCTTGCTTGCGGGAAGCAGAGCAGGAGCGGAGTGAAGAGCAGGTCGTGAGAAAATTAATGCCCAGCGCTGGAGTGGATCGGAATCTATCGCGACCTTGGGATCTCTCCCTCAGCGACGGTTCGGGACACCTATGTACAGCGGGTTTTCAAATGGCATATTCAAAAGTAACGGGACAGGAAACTAGGAAGCCGCCTCTTTTCCCGCTCACGGGGTGGCCATCTTTGTTTATGTTGTTTCGTTTGTATCATCGGGGCCATCGGGCGCCCCCGGTGCGATCAGCTGTGCGGTGTCTGCCTTCGGAGGGCCATACCGGAGTTCTTTTCGTCAGTTCTGTATCGCATGCAAACAGGCACCGTTGAAGGCAGAACGTCACGCGTGAAACTTCGCGCAAACTCTCCATTATCCAATTTCGTGAAAGCCCCGACTTGCTTGCCACGCCACGGGTGGCGCTACAGTGTTGTTACGCGCACACTCACAGCCACAGACTTTCACGGTGGCGGCGAACGGCCGGCCTACAACGACGAGATCAGTGTGGAAAGCAGACTTAGCAAACGAGACTGTTGTCCTGGGAGGTTGTTGCTTAGTTCGTAAACGTAGTGCCGCTAACTTTTCCGTACGAGTGTTGTGAATTGTGTGACTGTGTCGCGTCGTTCAGTGCCGTAGCGGTCGTGAGTGCAAGCAGTTGCGATGAGGAATACATGATGATGTACAGGCGAGCAGAATTACGGCAAGACTCGTGAGTTCGATTTAGTGGGTGTTTCTCGAGCACGCTTCCTGCGATCCCTACACGCGGTCGGGTGCAAACACTATCGGCTTCTCCACCAGAATGAGAATAGCCTGTAGCATTCTGGAGAATTCCCTAGACAGAAACTCTCATGGCGTACGGGAGACAGAGAATTCCAAATCGGAAATTTCGTCCCGGACTTCAGGTTCGGTGTATGGATCGACGTCTTGACTCCGTTGGTGGAGATCCGAGTCCTTAGTTGGCGATACCGGGGTCCGGCCCAAGAAAATGGGTCCAGAATCTGCTCGATACAGAGAATTCCACCCTGAGTCGGTTGACGAAGTTTCGGTAGATCCTGATGATAGGGAGCTCGAATACTTGTCATCGTCAGTCGCGATTCTATTCTTCGATAAGAATTCAATCAAGTGCTTCCATGGACTGCGTCAAGCCGTGTCTACGTAACTGGAAATACTCGGTGCAAAGTTTCGATATGGGCTCGGACGCATCTACGCTCTTCTGCCGGGTCGCTCGCGTCGATCAGGCTTCCAACTCATGTCCCTGAATGTCGAGGAGAGAAAACAAGGTCTGACTCCCAATCCCGTTTCAGCAGGGCTTGTCCGTTTCTGCGCAACAGCTGACTTTACGAGGCTGACTCAACTCGTTGTTCAAGCGAGTGTGGTTTGCTGTCGACTTTGCATCGAGAGACTGTTCTGATGCGAAGTGATAAGTTCGAGCAGCAATCGAGACTTTTGCACAGAATAAGCTCGTGGGAAAATGTCCGAAGTGATGTCATTTTCCTGGAATCCATCCCGATTCATGCCATCATCTGCCGAACAGGTGCATCTAATCGGTGACATGACGGTCTTCTCTCGAAAGTCGGGAGTCGGTCTCCAATGACAGCTCGGGCCTGTGTGGAATACTTTCGGGAAGGGAAGCTCACGGCTTTCCTGGCGTTTGTTTTGCGCGGCTGTTATCCTGCTCACACAATGCTGTCATCGGAAGCTGTCAGTCGTGTCCGCTGTTGGAAGTTAGGACGCGCTTCCACGCTTTGCGAAGCTCGCGGATCGATGACTCCCTGCGGATCCTTGTCAAGTCGCCCGCATTCTCAGGGAAGGTTCCGTCGGCTATCGTCCCTCGTCCCTCCCGCGGCGAAGAGCGTACCGAGAGATACCCCATGAGCTGAGTGATTGTTGAAGCTATTTTTACGGCGTTCGCATTTCGCTCTGTAATCACGAGGTCTTCCCATTCTACAAATTCAGCACTATGTTGTTGAAACTGTTCCGCTGAGCGTAGGTCGAGGAGAGTGATGGGGGAATAATTTGCTCCCGACCGGACGGCGAGAACATTATTCGAAAGAGAAGAATATCCGCGTCTAGAGCGGTTTTAGATTGATCCTTAGCTCTCTGATGAGAATCGTTCTGACACCGCATCGCCTAGGAAGACAGGCTTGAGCTGGACATTCTGGGCATGGACGACAATTCCACCTGTAATGATAATAATGGTAATCATCACTTACATTCGAACTATTCGAATGGAGCGATTAGTCGGACCACAAGGATAATAATCGAATCATCGGAACTCGTATCGAGGCTGAAGTGTGTTGGCTAATCCAGAGAACTTTTCCGCTGCGGCCCTGCTTTCCACGAGATGTTCCTCCATAAAAAAACCGAAGAAAACACGACACTTCGCTAAATGGTCTGAACGGATATTCCTGACGAGAGACTCATTAATAATTAATCTTAAGCCGCTCGGACATCCCTCATCATTTGTCACGGTCTCGTGCAACCGGCGTAAGATCAAGCTCGCGCGTCGAGAATCACTGCAACTCGAAGAGCATCAAGCAGCCGAGCAAAGTGCTTCATGCATTGTTCGAAAGCCGTTTAGAGTGACAGGCCAAGGCTTTCGACCGCAAAACGGAAATCCATATCGCTGTGAGCCGGTGACGAGAACCTCCCTTGAGAATTGGAGTCCGGCGAATAGAATCACAGTGTCGAGACGTGAACGCGGATTCAATTCGATCTCTGGATTCAAATCGATCGGCGCGGGAGGATAATCCCCAGGGTAAACACAATCTCTGTGAGCTCGTTCAGCGATGTTTCGAATGAGGTGATAGCTAAGCGACTAATGTAAGCGTCCAGCAAACATTCCACGCCTCTACCGTGGCTTGGGTTTCTCGATATCTAATCGAGCAGGAGATCCAATCGCATAGTATCAATCGTTACTCAGTCCATGAACAGGTCTGTGCAATTCGATAGGGGAGAACCTCTCAGGCGATTCTCTCTCGCTCCTCCGCTCACTCAGTCAGCTGTTTTCGGTATCCTAGGGGCGAGTATGAGTTATATAAGAGTCGACACTTTGCAGCGAAGACATTCCAAACACAGAAGCGGGTGAACGTGTGCTCAGCCGCTCTATACATTTTTCGCGCATTCACTCTATTTATAAATAGTCGAGTCGACGCGAGAGTCCTCTCTTGCCTTTTCTTCGCCATGCTTGATCACACACTCTCGTGGACACGTGAACTGGAAAGCGACTGTGGAACCGGGCGACTGCGACCCTCTCCAGAAAAGCTCTTAATTATCCTCTGTTGTTTCTCTGGCGATTGAAACCGCCCTCTGGCGAACCCAACGAAGTCTGACTCACTTGGTGTAAGGGCTTCTCAAGACCTGATGATATCTTCCATTATACCCACCGGTAGAGATCCCAGAGGACAATGAGTGTTCGGAGTGTTCTCTGGGAAAGACATGCTTCCGGAATGTGCTTTCCTCGAGAGCCCAATCACATCATACGGGATCATATTACACCGTAATGATCGGAGGGCTCTCTATCGCCTGCGGCTTCGTTGGGTCGCTCCGGGTATAGGTTCGCGGGTCGTCGATCTGGTTGATCCTCGATCGCTCAGAGCATCTTTTTGAGTCAGAGATCACACGGGGACGAGAGGAGATTTTATTCCACCGAGAAGCTTGTGTCCGGTCGCCAATCTCGCCAGGAAAAGAGTGATACGAGCCAATCATCCGTACAATTCAGTATCTGGCCAGGGGCCAGGGGACACTCCATCCGGGACCATCCCCGTTCCGGATGCTCTGCGGTGACGGGACGGCATGGAGCATTCCGAAAATCCCCATCCGATCTCCACTAGGACTGTCCGAGTCTCCCGATCGCGAATTTTCCTATCTGCTAGATTGACAAGAAGCCTACAACGACTTCAAGACTCGAGACGGATTAAGTTCGTTAAAGTAGAAACTTCGTTCCACGAAGCAGGAAAGTTCTTGAGTTTTTGTTGCCGTAATGTGATCGTGTCAGCCTCTAACGATGGGATCAGAGCTTACGGCATCGTTCCAACGACTCGGTGCGATCATGTGTAATCGCGAGTAAATTAGCGAGATCGAAACGATCTCACGGCCCTATCCGGGAACGCTTATGAGAGGAAGATTGCATCTCGGGCTGACACATTTCCTACCTGAACTCTCGCGAGGAGTTTTTCGAGAAATATCGAGTGGGGGACCTGATTATTCCGATTCTGAAAGAGCTCCGATTATCATGGGGCTCCTGTCTTTCCCTGAGACTCTTTCGTGGGCCGAGCATGATTCGGTTTCATATGAACGAGGCCCAAGAAGCGCTGCGGACTCAGAAAGCGGAGTTCCGAGTCAAGCTGCCGACCAAAGCTGTAGCGCAGCAAATCGTTTCAGAAAGATCACCTGTCGCTGGAACTCGTCAAGCTCATTTG